TTTCTGCAGATTTATTTTTATACTTACGGTTTTGTTCCTCGTCTCAATAAAGTTGAATATGCAGTCGCATTTACCAAACAAGTCGACAGGTTTTGTCGCAAGGAAAGTTTCATTCGATCAAGCAATCTTAAGAAAACTTTCTGATTCAGACCAAGAAATTAAACTTTTAAACTTTTATTTTATATTTAGGCTATTATATTATACAGGGTGCCCCTAAAGTCTGGGCACCCTAGGCAAAATTGCATATTTTCAAGAAATTAAAATTTCAACAATATTTTATTGAATTGGAATATTAACAAATGACATCTTCAATAAGATTTCCATCATTTGTGATGCAAAGGTTGATGTGCTTTGCAAGATTCACGTGAATACGATGCAATAACTCCACAGTGCCATCAATTTTAGCACATTCACTCTTTATGCGTTCAATAAAGTGTGTTGCATCTGTGATCAATATACAGCTCGTGTTGCGGTATTTGAGTACATCTCCTTTAGTATACACCAGAAAAAAGTCAGTTCTTTCTTCTTTCGACAAAAGAATGTTTAATCTATAGAGATAAAAAAGAATATAGTTATTGAAATTTTATTTGTGTCCAGCCTTTAGAGACACCATATATATATATATATATATATATATATATATATATATATATATATATATATATATATATATAGTAATTCATCGAACCCAAAATAATCTTCAACAGAAGTCAACTAACCCTCGACCACTAATGATTACTCTAAATCCCCAAAAATATCTCCTTGCTTGACCCAGCTAATGCTCGTGAGGAGCGGCTAAGTGTCAATAAGCAGACGTTGCTCTTGGGGCACTGTTCCGAGGTTATCCATATACATGGATGAGTATCGCTGCAGAACTGAGGGAGTAGTGGCGCTGTATCGAGTCTAGTTTGTGTCTTCTTCGTCACCGAGGCCCGTGGTACAGTTGGTATGACGCTTGCTTTGTATCAAAATGGCGCGGTTTCGATTCTCGGTAGTGGATGCGCACTGCTGAGGAGTCCCAAATAGGACGAAACGGCCGTCCACTGCTTGATGGTAGTCATAAATTAAATATCTACTTAAATACATTGATCCAGATTAATTTTTAATGTAGAATACAGTTTGTTTGTCTTTTAATGAACAGTAAATCTTCCTTTGTACTTAATATAAAAAATAAAAATAACAATATTCACAGCATATTGTCAAGCCCAAGCCAACAGGGTGTATGAGGATAGAAAATAGAAACAAAAAGTGAGTTATGGTAATAATGATAATGATAGAGTTTCATTATAAGGAAACATTCGGCAATTATTGATCGAATAGTTAGCGTTACTATCAACTGAAATTTACAAAATCTTTCTCTTAAAAGATTTTCTAGAAAATAGACTTCTCAAGTACACTGACTGTTATAGCTCTTTCTAGCACTGATGGGAGTTTACTTCATAACCTTTGTTTTAATGTAATGGAGAAAGTCAACATCCTAATTATATCATTATTTTTTCCTTCTACTTAATGCTATCGATTGTAGTTGTTGCCGCTGTTGGAAGTCTTCAAGTGATGTAGGTTTTGTTATTTGTTCTTGTAATTCTAAAGCGCCACTTTATAAGATCTGATGAAGAATTGTCTTGTTTAGGAAATTCACCCGCGCTTGAAGCCATTTTTAATCACTGATCTGAGAAAACGGCTGCGTGTAGCTGATAGTTTGGACATTTCTGAACAAGATGGACGCCATGCATGCCATCTATATGGATGCCGAGATCTGATGAGGCTATTTAAGAACATGACTTGTGTTATTAAGTTAATATTTTGGTTCGGTAGCAACTTGGACAAAACTAGTCATAGTGCAGTCTATCCTATGTTCTATTTTCTTTATCGCCTATACTAAATTTGCTATAACGGATCCACATCCCGAGGTATCTGAAGTGTTTAGTATTTACTAATTTCAAATCCTGTAATTTTCCGATATATTTCGCATAGGTGCTATCACTCATTGGGTACTCCTTACTTTCGGTCCTGTGCCAGACCTGGGCTATGTTTAAGAAATCACTATGTGCCTAAAAAGACTGATCTTCACATGAAATTTTTTCATGTCATCCACATCATTTCGAAATACGTTATCCACATATTTTCGAATATTAGTACATTAGAAAAAAAAACCCCCAAAAAACAAATTTAATTAAATAAATGTCTATTGTATTTACCAAAGATGTTTAAAACAAAATTATATGTGTGTGTGATTTTATATGTGCAGTACTTAGTGGAAAGCTCTCAATACCTGTGATAGAGCTAACATATTCATATATATATATATATATATATATATATATATATATATAGAGAGAGAGAGAGAGAGAGAGAGAGAGAGAGAGAGAGAGAGAGAGAGGGTCGTTTGGGGACCTTGTGGCACTCGGTACACCAGGTCTCTGTATTCGTCCCTTCAAAAAGTGTGGATGGTCCTGCACGAAGCCTTCATCACTATAATCAAATCTCATGTGCCGGTGTCGGGCTGTCGGTTTCCTGGAAACTGATCTGCTTGTCCCTCATACGTCGAATCTCGACGGGAGAGTCGACTATATATATATATATATATATATATATATATATATATATATATATATATATATATATTATTATTTATAAAAAATTATAACATAATAATTATATCTGCTCTACTTTGTATTGAGCACTCTTTTAAGAATAGTAATTGTTGGTTATTGGAATTCATTCCGTATATACCAATTATATTATATATATATATATATATATATATATATATATATATATATATATATATATATATATTAATAAATATGCGTAGTATCTCTCACCGATAGCATGACTCGGAGTTTCATGCACAACGCAATCATCATACGACTGACCGTCACGTAATTTAAATTATCTTTTATTGCAATGCTGGATTACAATTTCTTTAATGTAAAAAAACAAATATATCTGGCATTTAAAATAAACGGGATTTGTATATGTATCTTGTTCAGAAATGTCCAAACTATCAGCTACACGCAGCCGTTTTCTCAGATCAGTGATTAAAAATGGCTTCAAGCGCGGGTGAATTTCCTAAACAAGACAATTCTTCATCAGATCTTATAAAGTGGCGCTTTAGAATTACAAGAACAAATAACAAAACCTACATCACTTGAAGACTTCCAACAGCGGCAACAACTACAATCGATAGCATTAAGTAGAAGGAAAAAATAATGATATAATTAGGATGTTGACTTTCTCCATTACATTAAAACAAAGGTTATGAAGTAAACTCCCATCAGTGCTAGAAAGAGCTATAACAGTCAGTGTACTTGAGAAGTCTATTTTCTAGAAAATCTTTTAAGAGAAAGATTTTGTAAATTTCAGTTGATAGTAACGCTAACTATTCGATCAATAATTGCCGAATGTTTCCTTATAAGGAAACTCTATCATTATAATTATTACCATAACTCACTTTTTGTTTCTATTTTCTATCCTCATACACCCTGTTGGCTCGGGCTTGACAATATGCCGATTGCACCTCTGCAGGGGGGTAACACCCCTCTAAATGAGGCGTCCTGGGTAAGACGATAAACTACATCCGACAGCAAGGTCTCTGATCAGGAGGTTCTGAGGAGCGTGGAGCCACCTCTTAATTGCTTGTGCTCCCTGGTCCACCCTGACCCAATGAGGTAACACCTGTTTGGGTCCCAACTATGGGCAAATAGTTAACCCCCAAACTGGGATCAAAACGCTATGAAAATGTAGAAATAGGTTTTAATACCAGCAATACATTGTTGTAAAAAAATTATTACCAGAAATAAATTTTTGAAGGAAAAAAATATTACCTGCAATATATTATTACAAGCAATACATTTTTGAAAAAAATATTACCAGCAATTTTTGATAAAAAATATTACCAGAAATACATTTTTGAAGGAAAAAATATTACCAGTAATACATTTTTGAAGGAAAAATATTACCAGTAACACATTTTTGAAGGAAAAATATTACCAGTAATACATTTTTGGAAAATATATTATCAGCAATACATTTTTTAACTAAATTATTACCAACAATAAAAAAAATCTTGTAGGCATTAAATAACCCATTGCCGTAAAACAAAACAAACTATCATCATAAATTTCCCATCCAACAGCCGCCTGTTCATTTGTTCTTTGTTGGAGAAGAATTATTTTCCACCCTTCAACCTCTCTCTCAAGGGCGATATGTAACGAGCTTCTCACTGCTTTATCGCTACTTCCAGGGAAGGTGCTCGAACGAACTACATTTCTTGGTTCCACCAGGCTTAACCTTCACGGCTAAGAACTGCTATGCCACGTACATAGTAACAAACCACTCACATTCCCTTCGTTTTCCATCGACGGGAAGTAAGTTCTTCTCAAACAGCCTCTTCTCGCGAACCACTGCTCTGTGGAACCGAGTCCCAAGAGGATGTTCCCCCGATCACTACAACCTTAAGTCTAGATTTAAGCGTTATCTTCCCTTCCTATCCATATAAACTACTCCTTAACGTAACCTCCTATCTTGAGTGGCCTCCGGACCTTGTACAGAATGAACCTTACTGTAAAAAAAAAAAAAAGACTGGATTCATACCGTTTCCGAGAATATTAATGTGAAAGCGATATCAGTAATTGCAACTTAGATACGAACCCAGTTTGCAAATTCCGTCTAAACCAATAACCACTTCACTACGTTGCACTTTCGTAGGTTTACATAGCTATGAAATATTTCCCATTTATGAGACTGCTGTCTGCTTTTGCGAAGATGTCAGTCGAGTCTGTGGTGGTGAAATAAATCAAACGGACTGCAAATTTCAACTGCTTTCCTGTCCAACGACATCTTGCATATCCCGTATCGAACAATGGGCATCAATCAAATGCGCAAATTGGTTAACCTCTCAACGTTTCCATTTAACATCCGATCTTGAATTTGTGGAATCCAATTCGCTTTTCTTAGTAAATAACATTTTCTCTGCTTTCGGGCTACAAAATATCAAGTTGAAACACCGACTCTCGTACGATCACCGAAGTTAAGCAACGTTAAACCTGGTTAGTACTTAGATGAGTGACCGCTTTGGAATTAATAATTCCTAAACGATCCTACCACGCACAACACATTACCTTTATATACAACCTCGATCTGGTCTGTAGTTAAGTCAGTTTCGTTTTCCAAACTGTGCTAGCGATCCCTTCAGAGCGTAGAAGATCATGGCTCTCAACAATTTCCTGTCTTTTGTATTTTTTACTAAATTTTGTCTTCTCCCCTAGACCTTGTTCTTCCATCCATTTACTTAAAAAGTTATGCGTTGTTTTATTTTGTCTTTCTTTCATTCAGTCTGTCCTGTGAGTATATGATTTTCCAAACCTTCTTTCCTCATTATATCCTTTTCTATAGAACCACAGTTTTTTTCTTCATTAGTGAGGAGATTGTCCAGCATTCACTGTCATATAGGAAGACTCATATTACATGATAGTTAAGTAAACAGTTATAATATATAGAATAAAGGCTCGCAATGCCAATACTGTTGTGACGGATGATTTATATGTCAAATATCTGTTCAAAGCAAGTATGCAACTATAAGTGTCCATTTTGTTTCCATCTTCTCTAAAACCTCGTCGTTGCTAACATGTCTGGCCCATGGTATCCTCAGCATCTTTCTGTAGAACTGCATAACTCCACCAGTCCAGACCTTTATAGCTAGGATTCGCCATGCCACCTCCACGGAATCAAATTCCCCACATTTCCTCCGTATTCCAATGTTAAGGAGGCATTTCCACTCAAATAGCTTTTTTTCTAGAACTGCTAATAATTATGTAGGTTTGCTTCGCAGAACGCTACATACTTAACCTTTACAAGTCAAGTGCCAATCGCTGTCTGACTCTCTTACTCTTATAATTTCCACTTCCAAACACTTTTCATTCATATAACACACCTTAATCATCATAAACATTCTGGCAATAACCCTCGACACTACAATCTTAACCTCGTCAAGTCAAGGGTCAAGTGTTATCTATCCTCATAATTGTCACTTCCTTCCACCTTCTCTTACAATGGTATCACCCATCTCATTCAGTAAACTGCTACCATAAGTGACTCTTGAGCCGTGTATTCGGTGAATCATTGTAAAAAAAAATGCATATTTTCTACCAGAATGTATTATCGTTGGGCGCAATTTTAACATAATATGATACTACGTTAATGGCAGACCTAGAAAGAAAAAACTGCGGAAACGCCTGGACAAGCTAGTAAAATAAAAGAGGTAAGAAAGGACTAACCTTCAATTGTAAAATGACAGAAGACATGTTTGTAAGCAAGAGCAATAGACCAGGATGCAAACTAGAAATTGGAGATGCTAAAACTAAGCAAATACGAAAGTTTAAATATCAGTAAAGGGTGTTTTAATAAAGAACAGAAAACGTGACACCGAAACCCGAAGACACATTAGAATAGCAAAAGTAACCTTCCAAAACCTAATTAAAGTAAGAAACCGAAAAGTTCATTATAGACAAAGAACAGAGATCTGCGATGTAATACCATATGGCACTGATTGGGACACCTCTGCGTGGCGTAATGGTTAGCAAATTTGTCTTACTAGAACAAATTACGACTGAGGAGTGAGTTCTAATCTCATTGGGTGTCCTCATAACTTCGGCCTTGTACCACATCTAAGCTAGGCTTAGAAAATCAATATATGGCATTGAATGCTGGGAAATTTCCTCACAGATGAAGAGGAGATTGAGGCAGCAGAGACATTTGGTTTGCTTTGTTTAACGGCATATCAACTCCTTATGGGCTATTTAATGCTGAAATTTAATTGTCTTAGGAGCTTTGGTAATTTTTTCAAAAATATATTGCTGGTGATTTTTCTCTTCTTTTTCCAAGCATGTATTGCTGTTAAATCTTTTTAATATGAACATGTTTGGTTGGTAAATCTTTTTTAATATGAACATGTATTGCTGGTAAACCTTTTTAATATGAACATGTACTGCTGGTAAACCTTTTTAATATGAACATGTATTGCTGGTAAATCTTTTTAATATGAACATGTATTGCTGGTAAATCTTTATAATATGAACATGTTTGGCTGGTATTCTTACTACAAAAATGTATTTTTATACTTTCATAAAATTTTGATCCCAGTCTTTTGGGGGGTTCATTATTTGCCCATAGCTGGGACCCTAACAGGTTGTACCACCCTGACCGGGTAATAAAACCTGTGAACAACAGCAATTAAGAGGTGGTCCCATGCTTTCTCAAAGCCTCCCGATCAATTGCTGCAGGATGTAGTTTATCGTCATAACCAGGACGACAGCAGAGATGTGGTTCTACAGAAGGATGTTGGGAATACTACGGTCGGGTCATGTGAGAAACGTGGAAGTTTTAAAGAAATTGGAAACAGAAAGGATGTTCATACTTAGAATCCGAAAGAGACTGTTGAACATTAGCGAGCATAGTTCTACACAACTTCCTTTTATGTTTTGGTTTTAAGTAACTATGTCATTATTTGTAGTCCGTGTTCTGCCATGACGAATCTGAATGGATAGCAAAACACAGTCATGCACAGCACAAAATTAACAGCTAAATATTTGTTATGTAAGCTCTTAAATGAAATTTAATTCAGTAATTGAGATTAGCTATATAGCAACTTTTTTACAAAATTATAAGTTCGTGTTCGTTCATTTTACGACATTTTCAGTCGGATTTTTTTTTTTTTTTTTAATTTTGAAAAATATTTCAATAGGGACTGTGTAGTATCTTCTCCATTCAAACATTATTCCTCATGCATAGTTTTGTCGTTTCGATTTGAATTTTGGGTGTTCTTCAAATATTAAAGGATTGGTTGGTTTTTGTTTGTTATAAAAACAACTCACTTAAGCCACGGAGACTCCATTAGAATGCATAGATCCACAGCTGTCAATACGCCAGGCGTTACTACTGTACTTTCTCTATCATTTTTTTTTCTTGTATGGGACTCAGATGTTCAGTATGATGTGATGTAATGGATAACGACTCCGAATGAGAAATTGGAGAGCCGTGTTCGATCTTCAGTCGCTATCGTTATATTCACTTACGCACAAATACGGTGTCGGGGGGTGGAGAAACAAAAATTCGTACACATGCTGAATTTTAATTTATTGTATTTCCAACTAATAAACATACTTTTCATAAACTGTACACAGATGCATAATAACTAAATCTGCGTACAAAACAGGAAAAATGATCTAATAGAAATAACTCCCATTTATTCATTTTAATGGGTGAAAAAATATTCGTAAAATGCAAATTTCAGATTTTAAAACTTTTAAATTGCTTTAATACTCTAAATTATTCAAGTGGGATATTCTAGAATGTTCCCAAAATGTTATCAGTAGTTATTTTTAGCCTAAAACTCCTTGGGAAAGGTATGAATCCATCTCTTCTCCCTCAAGATATGGGTTAAATAGCAGGACACACTGGGTCCTGTAGACTTGGTTGGCAGCCAGTCTACAGTAGAAAGAAACAGCAGCTTACTACGGGACATCTTCTGTCTAGTCAGCCAAGAATCGAAAGAGACATGATCGCCTAGGCGTGTATCACGCTTACATTTGTGTTTTTGACTTTGTTTGATCTATTTGCCAGCTGCAGGTCTAATTGATTTTGAATTCTGGCTTATCCTTTTCCTAGACGACTTGCGAACAAAAACTGAACAGCCAAATCTTCCCTAATATTTAATCCATTGTTGGATGGATTAGAAATGAATTCATATTTTTCTGAAGGATATTTACACGGAAGTGAATGCAACGAATTCAATTGAAATTCGAACTCGGCTTGCCGATGGCTTGCTAACCATTTTACCGCCTGCAAATATAAAAGCAATATAACATAGATAATCTTGCGAGGAATTCAAGTCGATAAGCAGTTTTTTTTTCTTAAATTATTTTGTAAATGATTTAATCTATCTAGAATATTAATTAGTGCTAAACATTTGAAAACACCATTTTTTTTTGTTTTTTCAGTTAAAAAGACGCGTCCCAGTTAATAAAAAGTTTTATCTGTTTATGTTTTTTGTTTTGTTTTTCTATTTAAAACAGCAAAACGCAAAAGAAAACAACTGCATAAGTACTTGATAAAGTTAATCATTTTTGTTTCGTACTTATTCGGTTGTTTTCACTTGTGCCTAATTTCTATTTAAAACTCTGTTTCACTTTCTATGTCATGAAAATACGGCGTACCAACTTGATGTACATTGATATGCCGTTGTCTTTTTAGCCGAAAGGGAATAATCAAAAATCTCCTCTCCCTCTATCTACCTATCTATCTCTTTTTCTACTATATATATATATATATATATATATATATATATATATATATATATATATATATATATGAGCTTTTTCTTTATTGACTGCATTTCGTCGGTAAAGCAGTTGTTTCTTTGATTGCATAATTACTGTTATGTCTAGATTTGGTCATGATTTCTAGGAAGTTTTCCTTTCCGTTAGAGTCTGTCTCTGGTTAGTACGGCGCCATTAAGATGCGAACTTCTCTACGTCTTTATCGAATTTACTTCCCATCTTCATTTTACGATTCCTAATTCTCTATCTGCGAAACTAGCACTCTCTCTCTCTCTCTCTCTCTCTCTCTCTCTCATTTTCTTTTACAGATAATTTTTTTCAACAAAAACTTGCTCATCTTCTTCTGTATTTTATTACTTTTTCGTTGCTTCCATCTTCTTTTCTTTCTCTTTCCCACTCTCCTTTCTCTCTCCGACATCACTTTACTAATAAATCCCTTCTCTCTCTCTCTCTCTCTCTCTCTCTCTCTCTCGCTTCCTCTTCTTTTTTTTTCTCCATTCTTCATATTTTTCTCTCTATATTCAGTTCCGTCCACCTTCACACTTCCTTTATCTCTATGACAAACTTTCATCTACCTTCCTTTTGTTCCTCTTCTTTTTTATCTCTTCCTTTCCTTCTTTCCTTCATTCCTTCATTCTTTTTATCTCTTCCCTTCCTTCCTTCTTTCCTTCCTTCATTCATTCATTCATTCATTCTTTTTATCTCTTTCATTACCTTTGTTCCCCTTCTTTCTTATTACTTTCTTTTATGTTCCACTTCTTTTTTATTTCTTCTTTCCTTTCGTTCTTTTTCTTTATCTCTTTTTGCCATTTGTTCTTCTTCTTTCTTATATCTTCTTTCCTTTTGTTGTATTTTATCAATTTTCTCTTCTTTATTTCATCTTTCGTTTGCTTTCTTACATCTATTTCCCTTTACTTTGTTTTTCTCTTTTGTCATTTCTTTGTCCACCATTTTCTTCATTTGACTCACTACTTCCACTCTCCGTTTTTTTCCTTTTTATTCCTCTCTTTTATATTTGTTCCAGCTACAGTACAACGTCCTCTTTCTCCCTCTAACTTTCTCTTTTCTTGTTTCCACTGTTCAGTACTAAGGCGTTCGTACCGAATATTGATCCAAGCGAGAGTTCGATTTCTGACTCGGGCCAAGCATTGTTTCCGAGAAATAAGACATGTAAAATAATTGCTCTTTCTTGTACAATTTGTTTGGCAGCCATGTTTTCTTTTCTTCGCGTGTTTTTCTTTTTCATTTATTTTTCAGTTACCAATTTCCTTTGCATATTCTAACGTGACGCCAGAGAAATTCGTTTTCTCATACAGCTGAGCTCACAAAAAATGACAATCTGCAAAACGCTAAATGCTGATTTAGCAAACTTTAAGTCATTCTAGCGTAATTTTATCTTCGCAAATATTTAATTTGGACCTTATTGCAAATAGGAGATTGAGATTGAATTGACGGGCATTTCTGAATTAACTGATGTGCAGCTCTTTCAATTCCAACCGTTACTTTTAATTGTAAAAAAAAAAAAATGGAAGAAACAGTATTGAAGAAAATGTAGAGTATTCTAAATCGTTATACTTTGATTATATATTCATTTCAACAGAAATGCCTTTACTTTTTTGTTATTTTTAATGCGAAGTGATCAATGTTGGAGAAGGTAGAGTAATGGATATCAGCTCGGACTGAGGAAACGGTAGAGCCGAGTTCAAATTCCAGTCGAATCCATTACATTCACTTACGTGCTAATAACCTTGAGAAAGGTATGAATCCTCTTCTACCCCCCCCCCACACCAGCTATAGGTAAAGAGGAGGACAGACCAGATTCTATATCCTTGGATAGCAACTGGTCTACCGCAGAAAAAAAAATAGCTACCTACCGCGGGAAAAATCGAAAGATAAATGATCGCCTAATCGTATATCACGCATGGCACATAATTGATTGACTGATCAATGTTGGATATATGTATCCAGTTACAGCTAAAGGACTGAAATTAACATCACGATCACGAATCCTATAAACTACCAGGGTCAGAAGGTCACCACATGTACTGCAGCCATAGCTAAACCATTTCCAGCCAGCCTGTTCCAGAGTTTTCTGTCGCCTAAACTGGTTGTCAACCAGAGCTTGTCACCCAATCTATCCCACTATTTACACATAATTGATCAGAAGAGATGGATTCATACTTTTCCCAAGGGTATTAGCACGTAAATGAATGTAATGGACTCAACAGGAATTCGAACTCGGATCTCTGATCATTGCGAGACGCTATCTATTACACCACCGTGCCTCCATGAAATTAATATAAACGTGAAAAACGATCTATCCACTCGAACTTGAGAGCCTCACAAAACAAAAGCGATTAGCGAATCTAACACAGCATTACTTCAGTTTTGTGAGATTGATCCTTACTAGGTGATCCACACCCGTGGTTCCTTGCCTAACAATATCTGAGCTTCGAAAATATCTGGGTTCCTCGTCGTGACTTAAAGATTAGCAAGCGAGTCTAGCAGACCCATACTACTGCATAGAGATCGTAATCCTCATTTTGTAACCCCTCACTTCTGAAATTAAATCGAATTTTTGCCGATTCCTTCCGACTTTCTCCGATTCTTGCCGACTAAAATCTCTTAGAAATTTAAAAAAAAAATTGTTGTCGCGAGTCCCGTAATCCGTTTAGTTTTTAAGGACACCATTTGTACTGCAGTCATAGCAGCAGTGGTGTACCTTGGGCAATATAGCCTGACGGAGTCCATCCATCTTCAGGCTGGTTTTTGAATTCAGATTCTCCTAGACTGGTTGCCGCGTTAAGGCAAGATAGTTCAGTTTTGAATTGCTATTTAATCTGTAGCTAAAGTAATGTAAGTTCATGCATTTTCCAAAGTGAGCGAAAGTGAATCGAACTGGAATAGAATTAGTCATGCCAAATTCAATTTTCTGATACACTGTCCGCGCCTTCTGAAAATATCGTAATTCTACCCAAAAATAATTTCTAAAAGAACTATTTTGAACTTCATGTCCTAGAGTTAAAGAAAATCAAATCCTACAATTTTTAAAAAGAAAAAAACTTCAATGCTATACAAAAAATGATACCTAGAGGAATTAGAGGTTATTCATTATTTTAAAAAAAAAGTAAATAAAAAAAATAGGCGGGGTGCATGTAGGGGATTAAAAGTAGAATCATTCAATAAGAGAACAATGCCAAAATAACCTGTAAATGTTGTTTCGCCAAAAAAGGCAATTATATAGAAAAATAAATATTTTCTTGTTTCGTTTTGTTTTCTGTTCTTATTTTCTAAGACACTTTTTGCTATATCTATACTTAATTTGACACCACACTCTACTCTAGCTTGCACCGACCTCTGTCAGTTGCAGCTTACTCTGTCATATTCTTCCTCAGGTCCGAAGGTCATTGAGGAGACAAGTGAATCTTTCAAACGTGCCAGTCCCGCGGCCATCGCTGAATAGAAATCCCTGTCCTGCTTTTTGTTTCTCTTCATTTTCTGAGTGTTTTATTTTCACTCTCAACTGACGCATCTGTAGAAAGCATTGAATGCCATCAACTATAATTTCGTAGAAAGGGGAAGGAGAAGACTTCGAGTAAACACACACAAACGCGTGCACACACACACCATCATACACGTACATACATGCGTAATGGAACGTGTCATGAACTGATTTTTACCTGTAAAATGATTATCATTTGGAAGAATATCGTAACTGATCAAAATCAGTTAAAAAAAATATAACGTTTTCCATTCAGTCATTTACTAATGGCTTCTGTTATCAATTATAGGCATTTAAGAATATTTGTGGAGATTTCATAGTTTATTTTGTTCTGGTTAGGTTTCAACTGCTTTATGTATATAGCTTCAAGAATGTTTAGCTTTTGTTTATTGTTTTCATGTTTAAGTATAGTTGTATTTTCAACGAGGATTTTAACGGCTTCCCATACTTAATACTTCTCGTTTTCACTCTCGCGGGGTCATGTGTGACGTCACGAGCTGCGATGCGATTTTTGCTTAAGCGTCTTGTATACACGAGTTTGTCGTTGCTTTGAAATTTTTCATGCAACAAGAACAGACTATCATTATTGTTTTGTCCGTGTGTTGTTTGATATATTGAAATGTAATTGTCATCTTTCATAATGGCTTATGTAAGCCAAAAGCTTAGATAGGATTAAAACATGTACCAATATGGTGATTTCCTTTCGTCTTTCAATGATAATCTTATCAGACAATATGAAAGGAACTTACTTAAAATAAATAGACAAAACGTGTCTATATTATTTAATGAAACATGCATCAATCAAAAGTGCTGCCTAAATGCACAATATATATAAATATATATATATATATATATATATATATATATATATATATATATATATATATTTCCTCACCGGGGAAGAAAAATGTATAATTATTAGTAGTATAAGTTTTATACATCGACGACTTATTTTAAACAAATGTATATTCATTAGAAGTATAAATTTTAGCTCTGATATTATACATTGAGGACTGTTTTATTATCACTGTAACTCACTGTGCTCAAATTTCTTTTCATTTTTTGTTTCAACCTTTGGAAGTAAAGTCTGATGATCCGCAGTCCTTTAAAAGGGCTGTCGTGAAATAATTTATTACATGAAACCTTTAAGTGGTCTGTTTTTATTTAAATTATTTGCTCTGGATTTACATTGAGCTCTCTGGATTTTATCCTCCTCAGGTTCACCCATACGGATTACCTAGTTTTTTATAAATTATATATATATAAGGTATCAAAAGACAATTGGAAAAAATCTTACATTTTGCCGACGCGTTTCGTCTTCCGACTTTTTCAAGGCAAAAATGAAATCGAAATGTTTTTGTTGTTATAGTTACATTAAAAATCCAAATTTAAAAAGATAGACGCTTCTGTCTAAGCCTTTTTTTCTGGTTAATGTAAATTACCTTTATAGTAAGGGATTATTATTATTGTTATTATTATTATTATTATTATTTTGGTTGTAATGTGGATTTTTTTAAAGTATTATGCTTTATTTTTCATAATTTTACTACACGTGTTCCTGATCTTCAGGTAAAAGGCGGAGATTTCCACATATTAATAAAAATAATTAATTTTTTTTCTTTTATGTTTTTCGATGTTAAATATTCTCGATATGAGACATTCTCTGTTTTTGTGTTAGTAATCCGAATGTCTTTCTTGAATTCAAGAAAGACATTCGGATTAGTCACACATTTTATAACAGTGAGATGCTTCATGGCGAATAAAGAAGAATTATTATCTTATGTGTTGTAAATTTTATTTGCTTTGATTTTAAAATTAGGGGCACGTCAACATATATTTGTGATAAAATTATACTATTACTGTAGTAACTATTTTTACTATTTACATTGTTCGGACTGTTGTACTCATCTTTATTGTCATATTCAGGACGCATGGTCCTGTAGATAAAAGCGTTGGTTGAAGTAATCCAAAAATTACTTGACCCAAGGAGCTGCGAGTTCAATATCTGGCCACAGCAGAGGTGAATAAAAATTTAGAGAGTCGAATTACTAAATCTCTATCTATAAAATGCAGTGTGTGTGTGTGTGACGAATGCACGGTCGCATTTTTCGACGGATTTGCACCAAAATTTACCTGCATATGCTCCAAGTTAGCGGGAAGGGCAAGACCGACTTTGCATTTCCCAACTCCCATCGATAGTGAAAATAATCGATGTTTTTTTCATGCTTCTACGGCAGTTTTCATGTAGTTTGCGGCCATTTTCTACTGGCCAGAGTGAGAGACTATAGCTGGCTTCCACGAATAAGCAGGAAGATTCTATTGGCCAACGTGAGAGCCAACAGCTGACTGACACAGATGTTAACTAGCATGCAAAAAAAATCGATAGCTGCATTCGTCACAAGTGGGAAAAATTTAAATCTGCATGGCACTTTACTCCAATTGGCTCATTCGCTTGCTTAAACTCAACGTTGATTCTGATTCCGCAGAACTGGGTTCGGTGTGAAAAAGTATTTGTTGTTAACATTCTTTTTTTCATTCGGTTTTTTCCAGTTACGAGTCCTTTTTTAAAGCTGATCGTTTTGTGTTCATTTTGTTTAGTTCTTTTTTAGTAACAGATTTAATGTTTGGTATAGAGCTTAGAAAAAATTCACAGTGTGAGATAGGCAAGAAGTTATGGCATGTAGCAACATCAGCACGGCAAAGGGCACTTCTTTAAAGTCGAGGAAAGGCAAAAATATTTTAAGTCAAGTGATAGCGATTGCTGTATGAGTCGTACGATTTTTAATCAAGCACGGGCAACGCCAGGCCATGCTGCTATATATATATATATATATATATATATATATATATATATATATATATATATATATATATATATATATATTAATCATTATCATTCAAAAGAAATATAATTCCGCCAATACAGGATAACCATGAATTTTGAATACAGTGCTCAATATCTTCCAGACAGAGACGTAAATAATGTCTTCTTTTGATCTTACTCAAGTCGTTTCACAACTCTGTTAAAATATGTATCGGCACAGAAGCACAAAACCGAAAAATCTCCTGTAGTTAAATGGAAAATTATAAAAAAAACATTACAAGCTCGTAAAGCGACGTCTAAATCCTGTCGTCTGAAGTTACAATATACCCACTTCGATTGATAACGTTTCCAGTGCAATTACATCTCTTCACCAAGAGATCAAAACGTGTTATAAAATGAAAGCATATGAAAAAGTTTGTTGGACCAGTTAGACTCTGGCTGAGATAGGAAAAATAGTTTATATGTAGGTGTTTTGTTTTATTCAATGAATACTTATACGCGTGGCTACCAGTCTTGCGAGCATTCATAGTCACCACATATAAAATACACCTGAACAACAGAACTGACCAATTTTGTAACACCCAATGATCGGTTTATTGTAGTAGCACATGTGTTTAGAACGAAGTTGTTTTGACTTTTGTTTACCTAATAAATGTACTAAGACTCACGCAAAGTAGAAGGTTACTGAATGAGGGTGCTGTAAAGGAGGAAGAAAAATGAAGTGCCTATTATGAGGATATGCAGAATAAATAATCGTTTACTTGAAAAAGTTAAGACTGAAGTGGTTAGGGAAGCATCATTTCGAGTGCCTGTTTTACAAAGTAACATTTTTTGGGAAGAAGATATCTGAATGGGACTTACTCCTTACTAAGGGAACACGAAATGAGTGGACATGATTTGCCACCGTGAACATGGCATGATGGGTCCTAGCAGCCGATATCTGAGCTGGAGTGAATAAGGAATGTAACTCGTTAAAACACTTGCCATAATGATAGATGTAAAGTTGTGAAAGAATCACAAAGGGTGTAGAGAAACATCATCCCGAGTGTCTATTCTATAAAATTAACTGTTCTTGGGAAGAAGATGTCTGAATGAAACTTACTAAAGGAACACAAATGGAGCTGACGACATTTGCTACAGTGACTATGGTATGACGAGTCCTAGCAGCCGAAATCTGAGCTAGAATGACAAAGGAATGGAATGTTAAAAAAAAACTTTCCACGATGATAGATATAGAATTGTGAAAGAATGTCAAAGAGGTTAGAGAACCATCCTCTTGACTGTCTGTTCTACAAAGTAACATTTCCTAAGGGGAAGATGTACGAATGGAATAGACATGAGTTACCATCGTGAACATGACGAGTCCTAGCAGCCGATATCTGAGCCGAAATGACCAAGGAATGTAACTTGTTAAAACACTTGCCATGATGATAGTTAGTTGCGAAAGAATCTCAAAGAAGTCAGAGAACCATCCTCTCGACTGTCTTTTCTACAAAGTAACATTTCTTGGGAAGATGTCTGAATGGAACTTACTCCTTACTAAATGAACACAAATTTAAAAAAAAATTTTTTTCACAAAGTTTACATCCATTGAAGAAAAAACTTCATAGAAAGCGAAAGACTGATGTCTGCCACCAATTTACGCAAGTAAAAAGAATTTTTATATTCTATTTGAACTTCTGAAAAGTTGACGTCATAACGTGTGTAAATTGTTTGAATTTTCTTCATGAGAAGTATTTTTCGTCTCGTTTTACAAATTCGTTTTGAAAAGCGATTCGGATGTGTTTTTTTGGTTAATACGATAAAAACCAACAAAATGAACTGTACTGTGGGAACTGTTTTTCTTTCATAAAGAAAATTTTTAAAAGAAGTTTACGTGTATTTGAAAAAGGCGAAAAGGATCTCTTGAAATTTGTAAAGTGTTGATATTTTGTACGGTGGATTTTCTGAACATTTCTCAGTGTCGAAAGTGAACATCTTGTTTTTGAACAAAATTTTATGTATACGTTGACTTGATATTTGTGCATTTAAAAAATGGCTTCGGAACAAATAGCAGCGTTGACGAAAACGTTAACTGAGAGTTTGATCGCTCAGCAAAACGCCCAAATTGACTTTCATAAACAGATGTTAATTCAGC